GGGTGGCGTGGTGGCAGTGGCCGGGCGGTCGCCGTGTCTGAGGGGGGGATCGCATGTGAGAGTGCTGGGTGGGCGGGGCGAGAGGGGCGTCGGTGAGCCTGGGCGTGGCCAACCGGGCTGGTACAGAACAGGCCACGCAGCATGCTTCTGCTCACCAAGGCGTGGCAGTGGTTGTCCTGTCTAGGCATGGGTACGTCACAAAATAAATCCTTCATGTACAGTGTCAATGCACGCACAGCGCCATAGCCACCTGGCCCATCGTTCCATGCTTCAAGGTCGCTCCTCCGCCCGACCATCCCTGCGTTCATCCCCCTCGGCTGCAGGAGCTGTGTGCGCGCTGCCTGAAGCACAACAAGTCGTGCGCGCGCGCGTGGGAGCTCAATGGGTCCATTGCAGAGCGGGAGCAGGCGTACGCGGACGCCGCCACAAACTACGAGGCGGCGTGGCGGCTCACGGGGCGGTGGGTCTGCCCGCAGCGCGCGCGTGCCTAGGGGGCGAGGGCGGGTCGGTGCGTGGGGGGCAAGCCAGCACCGCCCCACGCACCCCACCCATAACCCCTGACAGCCACCCTTACTCAACTCACCCACCTCAGTGCACGCAACACTCAGCAGTACAATCGTTTCTTTGGTCTGGAGCGCCACAACCATTTACTCCTATCCCGCCCAGTCACCAACCCACCTAACCACCCACCCACCCACCCAACCAACCAACCAACCACCTGCGCACCAGCTCCGACCCCGCTGTGGGCTACAAGCTGGCCTTCAACTACCTCAAGGCCGGCCGCCTGGTGGACGCCATCGTCGCGGCCCAGGGCGTGCTCAAGGCTGACCCCTCATACCCCAAGATCAGGAAGGACGTCCTGGAGAAGGCGCGGGCGGGCCTGAGGCCGTGAGGCGGGCTGTGATCATCGTGGTCAAAGCACGGCGGGTGCCGGCGGCGCGTGCAGCGCGATGGGGCAGCTGCTGGGCGGCGCAACGCTGGTCGAGTCTGCCAAGCGGTCTGGCTGCGGATGTAGGACCTGCTGGCTGGGGGGGGGGGGGGGAATGCGGACTCGGACTTGGCGACGCTGCTGGGGAGTTGGCTAGGTGTTGTGGGGGGCAACTGCTGTGGAAGGGGGCTGCAATATCAGGGACTGGCGCCGGGCAGCGGCAACAGCATCAAGGATGGGGTTCTGGTACTGCTGATTTCAAGCGCACCTTGCAACCGCCGCTTGCTGTTGCTGTGCTATTTTTTGGCCGATGCGCTGTGATCTGAAGTATGGTAGGCGCTCCCAGACTACGGCATGCTTGCAGCATCACCCTCAGCATCGTGACAATTGTTGTACAGTACTTGCGCAAGAAGCGCAGTCAACAACAAAGTGTTGGTGAAGACGAATTCAACTGTAAGGGAAGTATCGGAGACACTTCAAACGGGTCAAGGTCGGTCATGTCATATCAAGGGCAAGTCAACAGGCAGTCAACCATGCCAACGTCCAGGGAGGGCAGGGCATTCGCGTTGCTGAGCATTTGATCAACCTAGACCTAAGGCACACAGCAACTCCTGAGTGAGGCAGACCAATGTTTGGCGCGACTCAGTCAATACAATCCAACAAATTGGCGGTGATCCCAGGGTTGAGCAGGTTTCTTTAAAGAAGCGCCTCGCCGGTCGAGTGCCAGGGCCCAGACAGTGTGCCGAAGCTGCGACACATTGTGGCGGGTTGATGAGCCAGCCAGCCAGGCGCGGGCCAGATTCAGGCTTTTGCGCCGCGCGCCTACCCAAGGCAGTCGTGCCGGCGGACCAGCACTTGCTTGGTCGTTGGCTGGGCATAATCAATGAGCAGGGCGAGGCAGCTCGCACGACGAGCAATATTGTAGAAAAGCAAAACACCTCGAGGTCAACTGTCTTTCAAGCTCATGACTGCCGACAGATAGACGTCGTGCTGAAGTGCCACCTGGAACACAGCAACGTAAGGCAGCCTCAACGTCGGCATGCCGTGGCGCCATGCGCGGCGGCCCGCTCTCCTTCACCCCCGCCATATCCTCCCGACTGGCGCCCTCGGACGCCGGCCCCCCGCAGTTGAGCTGGGATCCGGATTGAGCAGAATTGCCTCCGAAGCCGTCCCAATCCGCGGGGAGCCAGGCCTTAGGTGCACCCTTGCGCCGCTGTCAACAGGCCCCTTGCTCTTGCCGGCGCCGGGGCTGGACACACCTGGAGAGAGGGCGGCAGCCATGGGGCTGGCGGGGCTGCTGGTGACGCGGGGGCGCGCCAACAGCGCGACGGGGCTGGTCGCGCCGCTGCTGCTGATTGGTTTAGCGATGCACGTGGCGCGGGGGCTGGGCTTGCCGCCAAAGCTGGCCCGCAAAGCGGCGTCCAAGCCGGCCGCGCCGCCGCGAATGGCGCGCCCCGCGCTGCCTGCAGGGCTCGCGGCCGCGGCGCCGCTGCTGTTGGCGATGCTCGTGCGAGGGCTGGCGCTGCGCGACAAGCGGCCGGCCGTGCTGGTGGGACTGCGGATGATGATGGGGCTAGCTGAAGCCTCGACTGGCAGGCGAGCCGCGCGCCCCGGTGCCTCCAGCTGGCGCGCGATTGGCGACCTGGGGGGCACACCTGCTGAAGGCGCTGCCTGCGGGGAGGCTGGCAGCTGGAGCGGCTTCGGCCGCAGCTGCTGCTGCCTGAACAGCGCCAGCCGCTCGCGCCTGTCCCTGCCCAGCTGCTGCTGTGGCTGCTGCTGCTGCTGCTGCTCCTGCTGCTGCTCCTGCCACCGCTGCTGCTGCTGCTGCTGCTGCTGCTGCTGCTGCTGCGTCGGCGGCGGCGGCGGCTGCGACACAGCCACGTTATCATCCCCCTCCTGCGGTGACTGCGCCTCATTCTGACTCCCGTCCTGTGCCTTCTGGGCACCGCGCATGCCGTCGCACCGCCGTCCTCCAGAGTCGCTCAAGCGTCCCCCCGCTTCCGACCCCTCTCGCATCGGCGCCTGCAGCCGCCGCTCGGACGGCTGCAGCAGCAGCTGCTCAGATCTGTCAGAGGGTATCAGCTCCAAAGGCAGGCGCCCGCTGCTCAGGCAGTCCGAGAATTCACGCAGGCATGTCAGCGCAGGCTCCCCGTGCAATTCGCGCCCCAACGTATGCCCACCGTCTGCGGCTTTGATCCCTGATTCCCGCCCGAAAGCTGACAGCAGCCCATGGTAGGCAGGCGGCTTTTGGGGCGGCTGCGCGGGCGCCTCCGGCTCCGCATGCTGCTCGTGCGCAGCCGGCGCCGCGGATTGCTGTGCATGCGCCGCGGGCAATGGAGGCGCGTGCGCCGCCGCAGCCCCTGGCAGCTGCGCCCACGCCGCCAGCAGGTCTGGCTGCGCGCACGCCGCCAGCGCTGCGTCCGGCGTTTCGGTCTGCTGGCCGCATGCGACCGGCGGCTCCTCCTGTGTCATGCGCGCTGCTGGCTGCTCCCCGCCGGCGGCATACGTCTGCTTGCATGCTGACGCATGCGCCTGCTGCTCCCACCCCTGCTGCGTGTCTAACCCACGCTCCTTCTGCTGCTGCTCCTGCTGCTGCTCCTGTTGCTGTCGCTGCTGCTGGTTGTGCTGGTGCTGGTGGTTCTGCAGCTCCTGCTCCTGTTGCTCCTCCTCCTGCTGCTGCTGCTGCTGCTGCTGCTGCTGCTGCTGCACCCTGATTGAGCTTGGCCCTAACGCCAATGTGGCCGCGACCAGCTGCTGCTGCACCGCCGCCAGCTCCCTCCAATCCGCCGTACGCCCCACCAACATCCCATGGGCCGCCAGCAGCTCTGCCTGCCACTCGCACGCGGCGAGGAACGCCTCACATGCCTGCCGCTCCGCGGCCTGCTTGGCAAGCACCTGCCGGTCATCCTGTGCCTGCTGCTGCTGCTGCTGCTGCTGCCCATCCTCCTGCTGCTGCTCATGCTCCTTCTGCTGCTGCTGCTGCTGCTGTAAAGGCGGCAGCTGCATCAGCTCGACCGTGTGTGCCTCTTGCTGCTGCTCAATTGTCGCCGGCGTCAGCTTGGCGCCGTTCTGCTGGGCAGACTCCACTCCTAGCTGCTGCTGGCACACCAGACGGCCAGCCTCGCTCTTTCCCCAACCTGCCATGCCGGACTCGTCACCCTCCAGCACGGCAACTGCAGCGCCGTTTTCCTCGCCCTGCGGCTCAGCGGCCAGCGCCACCGCTTCGCTGCTTGCCTGCTGCACGGCCTGTTTGGCTGCCTGCTGTGGTGCTTGCTGGCCTGCAGCCTCGGCTATCTGCCTGGCTGCCTGCCCGGCATACTCCAAGGCGCTCTCCTGTGCCGCAGCCTCGCACTCCCTCGGCTCGACTGTCTGCTGGAATTCAGGCAACCCAGGCTGCATGGCTGCCAGCTCAGCTGTCACGTCTGCTGCCTCCGTGACGGTCAGTAACGGAGCGTGCTGCGCCGCAGCCTGGCCGGCGACCTTAGCCGTCACCCTTGCTGCCTGCTCAGCTGCCTCATTAGCTCCTGCCTGCTCGGCAGCTGCCTCAGCACCCTGCCAAGCTGCACACTCCTGCGCATCTTCTTCCTCATTGTCCAATGCTCGCGTCTCATGAGCACATATCATGTGCTGCCCGCCTGCCCCTGCCGCCTGCATGCATTCCGCCACCTGCTCACAAGGCGACTGCGCACGCGGCGCTGCCGCGGCCGACCGCCCATCTTCATGCACGGGCAGACCCAGCGGCAGCAAGGTGCATTGCTGGGTCTGCTCTTCCTCCTGCTCGCAAGCCTCCTCAGGCCGGTCAGTATCACGAGGACTGATGGCCTCTTGCAACGCCAGGGCGATCCGCACGGCCACATTGCTGGGTGCCTGTGCGAGCGCGCATTCCTGCTGCTGCTGCTGCTGCTGTCCTGAGCTGATATCCAGCCATTCCTGCTGCTGTTGCTGCTGCTGCTGCTGCTGCTGCTGCTGCTGCTGCTGCGCGCAGAGCTGATTCTTGGCCTCTTCCGGTCCAACTTCCTTCTGCTCCTCCCGTTCCTTCTGCTCCTCCCGCTCCTCCTCCTCCTCCCTCTCCTCCGCCTCGTCCTCCATTTCCTCTTCAATTGCTGCCGATGGCAAGTCACACGCCTCCTCGGGCCCAGCACCATCAGACGTGCCATCATACACATCGTCCTCCTCGTCCGCTGCCCCCGCCGCGCCGCCTGCGCTGCAGCCGCCGCCCGCCGGCTTCGGCGCTGCCAATTCGAGGGCGAGGAGCTCAGCTCTGACCCAGGCGCGCGCCTCGCGGGCGCGGAGGACGTCAGCCGCGCCCAAATGCTCCAGCAGCAGTGCCTCGAACCTGCAGGCGCGTTGGAACAGAAGGACGGCGCAGTTCATTTCGTTGGAGGCTGCAGCACTGGGTGTTCTTTGTGAGCACCAGGCAATATCCTAGTGGTGACACTGGTGACACTGGTGACACTGGTGACACTGGTGACACGCGAGCACTGAGCACCGCCCCTAGGCTGGCTGTATAACGGCTGCAGCGATCCAGAGCGCCGCTGCACCAGGCCATCAAAGAGGATCGGTGCTGCAAGCGGCCTGTCATCGGGCGCCCCAGTCAAAAGCGCATGCAGTACTCCCATCTCATGTCAAGCACAGTACGTAGAAGCCTTCCCCAAGCACACCCGTCATCAGTTCAATATTGCAAAGCCAAGCAAGTTTTCAACTCAACCCACTTCTGTTTCACAGGCATGAGGCCCATGTGGCCCGTGGGGAAGGCCACCACCCGCGCATCCAGAGCTGCGCCGAGCTCGTGCTGCATGCGGGGCGGGATGAGGCTGTCGTGGTCACACACCTGGGTTTGGGGGCAAGGGAAGGGGGGGCCGCGGAGCATGTG